CCCCTCCTCGGGTCATCGCCGTAGTTTAGCTAGGAAGAGAGGGCTGCGGGACACTCGAGCGATGGTTAGCAAGCTGACCGAGTGGGAGGCGGAGTGCAGTGACGAAGGGGGGAGGGGAAGAAAAATCCCTTCCCCCCAGAAGACCGCCCTGGATCCGCCTATGATTTTGGACGCCTTGATTTCTCGCAGGAGAAAATTTCATTGCTGCAAAAATTCACTTTTGGCAATTTCAGCGATCCATTCGAATTGCTTGGTACGACAGCGAACAGCGAAGAAAGTGTGCTAACTGGAGGTAACAGTTATCGGTCTCAGGCGAATCTCTTATGTACATAAATTACCAGAGAACGCATCACTCAGAAATTATTCAAGCCATTTTTTATTTCAGTCAGCGATGATGCACTTTCTACGCTAAAGTCTTTCTTGGAATGCTTCGGCTCCTACGACGTTGCTGATGTACTAAACGATCTGTCCGCGCAAACTTATGGAATGTTACTCGCAAGGTTCTCAGTTTTTGTCTTGCTCGGTCCCGAAATTAAAAAACAAATGAATAGATGGTGTACCTTGCTTTCGACAAAGAAGGGCAACGACAAACGAAAGAAAGTGCCGGTGAGGGAAATAGGGAGTGATAGAGGGTGGGGGTTGCACCTCTATTACCCTCTCCTTGCCTCTCCTTGAACCTGCAGTTGTGCTTGTCCCATACTTTTATATCTCATATTTCAAGCATTTTTGTCTCCTAACTTTAAATTTGGTACTAAAAACTAATTTCACGTTTTCCTGGCTATTTGCTTTCCCAATCTGGTCGATTTTTTGCATACTTCTGACTAAATTTTTTTTCCTCCTAGTTAGATACACTTATTCTTGCATCGATGGTTCGGACGCCATGCAGACAGAATGAACAAGAGAAATAGGCTGTTGTAATCTCAGTCACATAGTGCAGTTAATTGTTGGGGCAGTTAGAGCCGTTTTTTTGCAGTTCCACCAACAGTCTCTTTTTGCCACTGGCAATTGCGAATGATGATGATCGACTGCTCGAAGACGTTTTAAAACCAAAATCAAAAAGCAGCTTGCGAAGGCCTCAAAAAGTTTGTGTTTTATATAATGTCGGATATTCTAAAAGCATTGCTCAGCAATGTTTGCGAGCTTAACGCACCCTTTTTTTTTTGTTTCGTAAATCGAGAACTTTGTGGCCGCCTGCAGCAGCGATCGGTTTAGACGTAGTTGCTGGTTTCCGAACGTGCAATGATTTTCTCCTACTTGTTTGAATCATTTTCAGTGGTCG